CATAGCGTTAATCTCACGTTAAAAAAATTATTGCCGTTAAAATGGCCTCGCGTTAACGCGATAATAATGCGATAATTTTGACAGCACTAATTATTATTAATGAGGTGGGCATGATGCAGTCAGCTCCCCTTGCTCTGTAAACAGTGCGTTGCTGGGTGACGTCTACCTTCTTCTGCGAGTGCAGGTTGCTTTGATGTCCTGAACCGTTCGGAGTGATAAGCTGATAGCGGCCGTATAAACACGCCAAAAAGGACGGATTGGGCACCAAGAACTGCTGTGTCAACCTAGCCTTAGTTTCTAGTCGGTTACAATTGTTTAGATATTATATTTAGTTTATAAAAAGGAAAATAATGATTGGTTTTCCAGCAGAAGTTTTCCAGAACGGACCACATAAACCTTTTTCTCTTCTCTAACCAATGAGCATAACGTATAACCTGAATGACAGAAGGTGAAAGTCTGCAGAGAGAGGCTGTTCTTTGTGTTTAGTACTGAATAACAGAAAAACATCCACTCCAGGAAACTTCCCTGCCTGTGTTTGTTTTTTTCCTTGACTGCCTAGAACATTTTCCGACTTTACTGCAGTGGCTCCAGTGGTCCTGTGCTGTTGCTGCTCCACGGAGGCGGCCACTCTGCGCTGTCCTGGGCCGTGTTCACCGTGAGTCTGGTTATCACTCTAGCCTTTTTAGGCAGCATGTTTGAATACAGGCCAGGGTGTTGTGGAGTAAAGAGCATTCCTTGTTTTAACACGTTTTCTATTAGTCTATTTATGTGTCTCTACACTACACTTTTGTGTCTCTACAGGCTGTCATATGCAGCAGGATCCACTGCAGGGTGGTGGCCATGGATCTGCGAGCTCACGGTAGTTGGAGTTTACTTCTCCGACGATTGTTTTGAAAAGTGAAATAGATTTTTTTTTCACTTTAAACATGAATATATGTTAAGTATTTAGTAATCTTTATAGCTTTTCAGTCCTTATCTTTAATTCCTGATTGTTTCGTAACAGAGAGGAAATCTATACCAGAACAGTCCGTGTAAAGAAGGATTCACTATTTGTGACGTTAATTCAGTTCAGGTTATTTATTCAGCACCAGTTCTCATATTCTTTACTGACAGTTTACTGAAACTAGACGGATTGGTTCAAAGTTTTCCATCTATTGAAACCCAGCTACAGCAGATGAAAAGTTCATCATCTTTACTTATATACCGCTATAAAACAGCTACATCTAAAAACAAAGTGCTGATTATGGCTAAAAACAATAAAATTTAAAAAAAAAAATTTAAATGATAAAAATATAAAATAAGGCAATAATGAAAATTTTTCGTAAGCTAAATAAACAAGGACACAACAACTAATTCCTGCCAGTGATAAAAAAGTCAATGACTTAAAGTAAGTTTCATGTTGTGTTTTAAAACTTGGCCGTGAAGGAGGCTGTTCCATAAAGGAGGAGCAGCGATAGAGAAGGATCTGGCCCCTCTGAGCTTCCCCTGAAACCTCAGTACCTGCAGGAGCTGCTGACCTGAGGGACCGAGGAGGCAAGTAGAGAGGAAGAAGCTCAGATAGGAAAGATGGAGCAAGGTTATTTAAGCAATTAAAAACAAAGATAAGAATTTTAAAATCATCTCTGAAATGCACAGGCAGCCAGTGGAGGGAGGCCAGGACAGCAGTGACGTGATCATACTTTGGAGTACCAGTAAAAGACGAGCAGCGGCATTTTGCACCAGCTGCAGGCGAGACAGCAAAGACTGACACCAGCATAGAGTCCATTACAGTAAGAGATGAAAAAAAAGGAATAACAGTTTCAAACAGCTGCCATGAAGTAAAGGTTTTAGTTCTGACAACTGCTCCAGTTTAAAATCACTTTCCACCTTAAAACCCAAATTGCATTATAAACTTCATCAAAAAGGAAAGTCTCAACATTTAAGTGTATTTACCCTTAATTTGAGCAGGTAAATAAGATGATTTGCCAATGATATGAGTCTATTTACTCTTTAAATAAGATAATTGGACAAAACTCACTTGAAATAAGATGATAAAATAGTTTTTTCTTCTCTTAAATTTAAATTGTCTTGTTCCATTGGCAAACTGTCTCCCTTGCCTCCTCAATTCAAGAAAAAAAAGGACTAATTTTAAGAAAAAATTACCTATTTAGATTTCAGTTTTTTTGCAGTATAAAAGATCTGCCTCCTTTTCTACTTTTAGAAATTCTAGGAAGCACTAGTAAAATTTGAGAGCGAAGTGCTTTATTAGGAATATAAGGAATGATCGGATCATTGCTGGTCACTCTTACCCTACGCTCCTTAAAGGATAGTGGAGGATTTTCGCAAATATTCTATAAGACCCGCCCTCTTCACTTAAAAAAACAAAAAAAAAAACCTGCTCCTGAGAGGGAACGCCTATTAAAGTTGCTGTTCTCATCGCTCATTCAAGCTTACTTTCCAAAAGAAGATTAGTAATTTTTCCACTATGTCAGACTCACCACCAGTAAGTGAAAATGGAGACTAGCACAAAGGACGGCCTTATCAGCAGAATTATTGACAACTAGAAGGACCACTTATGTAGATGATCCACCCGAAAATAAAAGAGCATCCTCCACTATACCTCTAAGATCAGGAAACAACTTCAGCTTAGTTGTAGTTTCTAAATTAGTTGGCATTGGATGACTGTTTGCACACCGAGACGTGTCTAAGCTGCTGCAGAAACATGTCTGCTTGTTTCTTGGTTATACTCCTGGATTAAAAACCTTTTCTCTCTTCTGAACGGTGAATAAAACCTCATGTGTGTTGTTGCTTTAATGTGAAATTGATATACAACAACATGTTTCTGTGTGCAGGAGACACCAAAGTTAGAAATCCTGAGGATCTGTCAGCAGACACCATGGCAAAGTAAGGAGCAATGTGGAGAAAATGTAATCTGTGTACCAGTAACAGAAAATCATTAAGGATCCCAGCAGATATGAGGCTCCAGACATTAATCATAGCATGCTGGTCTTTTTTATTTCTTCTCCAAACTGTTTTTTAACAGCAGTTTTTCTGTCTATAAAGGGATGTTGGTAAAGTAGTAGAGGCTCTGTACGGAGAGAGCCCCCCTCCCATCATGATGATCGGACACAGTATGGGCGGAGCCATCGCAGTCCATACAGCCAGTGCCAACCATGTGCCGTCCCTGCTGGGTCTCTGTGTCATCGATGTGGTTGAAGGTAAACTGCTTTTCAAGGCTTTCTACTGAAAAAAATTGTAGTTTAAATCCTCCTTACAGCTATAAGGAAATTAATGAGGTTATAGGTAAATAAGGATGTGTTTTATGTTATACAGGCACAGCAATGGATGCTTTGAACAGCATGCAGAATTTCCTCAGGAGTCGACCAAAGACGTTCAAGTCTCTGGAGAACGCCATTGAGTGGAGGTATGCCATAAACAATTGGATCGACCCGTTGGTCGGCGTTAGCTCTTCTGTTTGCTCTACAGTTCTAAGCAGATATGGAAAAACATGAAGGTCTGACTAATGGTGCATTCAGAGCGGAAGCGGTGTTCACTTAGAATCCCTGTACAAACCACGTGGTGAAGCCGTGAACTCCAGGCGATGATTGTGTGCACTGCTGCTCCCTCACCTCGTGCTACTAGATAGAGCCGAGGTGTTAGACAGCAGAACCGCATAGAGAGAGAGGAGCGGTGATCACTGAAGGTGAAACAAAGTGAACTTTTCTTGATGATCACAGCACAGCAGCCAATTAGGGAATGGTTTTAGGCAAAGCCTTTTTCACTTAAAACTGAGAAAATAATATTAACAAAGGTAGACATGTGGATTGCTCTATAAAGCTGTTTTAATTTTGTCCTAGAAGGACTGTCCATCATCCTCCCTCAGAGCACAGAACCCGGTCCGTCACTGCCGACCGCCCAGCATCGGTGCTTTCTGAGGGGGAGATTTACAAATAACTCCTGCCGAATTAGAGCTGCTCTGGATGAACCAAAAGTGGATCTTTTTTTCAGAGCTTCTGGGGCTTTTCCAGAAATAGATTTTCTCCTCTGGTTGACCTAAAAAAATTATCTCTCATATCTCTGAAACAAAAGCAGCACATATTTTCTTTTGTTATTCTTATTCTAAATGACCATTTTAAATGCCCATACCTGCATTTAGAGGCAATAACCATTCAGTCTATTTTGCTTGAGTTTTTTTTCACATCTAAAATGTGAAACTACTTGCAGTGCTCGCAGAAATCACGGCGTTCACCGCCTGCTGTGTGAACCCACTATTAATAATAATAATAATAATAAATTTTATTTAACAGCGCCTTTCTGGACACTCAAGGTCACTTTACAAAAAAAAATAAAATAAAAAGAAAGATGAAAATACAAAATACAAATACAGGAACATAAAAAGTCGCAGTACTGCTAACAAACGTGAACTTGCCTGTTGAAGACGAGTCCAGTGGTGTCGATTTTGAGCACGATTTTGAGATTTTGTGCACCTAATTGTGCACTATTAGGTGCTTCATCAAGTTACCGGTGTTGCCTGCCTTAGGAACAATGTCTTTTGCATGTATTGCATGGCGCAGTATTGGTGTTTCTATCTTTATAGGTGGAAACTTGAAGCTGAAAGAAGAGGCATGATTGATGCTCTGTAAGACCGATGCATTTCGGTCAGTACCATAACGGCAACAACGTCCAGTACCCTCCCCTATAAACCACAGCGTAGTTTGTTCTCAGGCCACAACAAAACGCAGCACATCACACACCAACCGATTTTTTATTATCTCAATGTGCATCACAGAAAGAGTCTGCAGACGGTCTCTGTGTATGAAGGCAAATCCAGGACGTGGTTTTGCTCTGATTTGGAAAATTGATGTGCTAATAAACTCTATGGCAGCAGGGGACGCTGCTTCTGTCGCTGGTGGGGGAAAAAAGATGGCTGTCGCTGCCTAAATGTTCCCTAAGGCTGTCCTTCACCTTTTTTCAGTGTGAAAAGCGGCCAGATTAGAAACGTCGAATCTGCTCGAGTTTCCATGGGAGGCCAAGTTAAAAAGTAGGTATCCAGCTGGTTTTGGTGTTTCCCAACATTCACAATCTAAGCATGTTTCCAAAGATCGTTTTCCCTCCATCTGTCCTCAAACAGAAGTGAGGAGTCTGCCTGCGATCCAAGTGTCTCTAACAGTATCGGTGAGGGCATCATAGAGGAAGAGGAGGAAGAGGAAGGAGCTGAGGAGTCGAATAAAAAGCGGATGAAAGAGGACGACCAAGAGGTTCAGTCTCTCCTGGAGCTTTTTCTTTTTCAGCAAATCGTTTAGTTTGGTGGAAAACTGCTAAATGTTCCTTTCTTGGCTGCAGGTGAAAAAGGAAAGCTTCTACACCTGGCGAGTGGAGCTGTCAAAGACTGAGAAATACTGGGACGGCTGGTTCCGAGGTCTGTCGGCCCTTTTTCTCAGCTGCTCTGTGCCAAAGCTGCTTCTCCTCGCAGGTTTGTTCTCTTTAGCTTTTACCACTTATTCCCAGGTCTGTTCACTTTCTGCAAAAACACACCTGGTTTGTCTCTTCATACAGGAGTGGACCGGCTGGACAAAGACCTCACCATCGGACAGATGCAAGGTAAGAAGCATTATTAAAGAGCTTCCTCTATCTTCGGTTGAATTGGACTAAATGTAAAGGGGATTTTCCACAGGGAAGTTTCAGATGCAGGTCCTCCCTCAGTGTGGCCACGCTGTTCACGAGGACGCACCTGAGAAAGTAAGACTTGACCAATTTGATAATCCTCAGAAAAACAAAAGCTTCTTACTCTGGTTTTGTTTGCTCCAAATTCACATTATTTGTTTCCGTTTGGCAGGTAGCAGATGCTCTGGCAGCGTTCATGGTCCGACACAAATTCACCGAGTTTAAGGAAGGATATCTGTGGTAAGTGTTTGTAGTTTTGTGAAGAATACAACAGAACAGGTTAATTATAAATCAAACATTTTTTCCTATAAATTAATTAAATTGATATTAAGTTTAACATGCTCCATTTAGCATGAGAAATATGAACTCGTCTGAGAGTGAATCTCCAGATAGTGATTGAAGAAGCAGTTTGAGTAAACTAAATCATCCAGTTCCTGTATCTGACTGAGTAAAAAAAAAAA